TGTGTGTGTGTGTGTGTATCTGTGTGTGCTAGAGGTGTATTTGCGACTCTTTCTCAGGTCCCTGTGTGCATTGAACATCCCAACCCTAACAGAAACACCGAAGCTTGGCCAAGATATCACAGGAACAATTATCTAATTTTGGAACATGTTATTATAATACCTCCATGATGTGTAACGAACCTAACAATGTTCACGTTATATTCACCAGCTCTGAGCTGCAGGCCCATAATGCCAAGCCCTACCCTCAGAGGCTCCTCCAAGACCCAAGAGCAGGCCCCAAAGAAAGCACTTCAAGAAATCCGCCTTTAAAAAAAGAAAGAAAGAAAGAAATACCCCTTCTTCCGACCATTGCTTCTCCTGGGGTCAGGACATTTTGGAGGGCAATGAAGTGAAAATTGCAGGAAAGAGGACAGAAGCCATCTTGGGGTGGCCAGCCTGTGGGCTAAAATCCACTCTGTTCCTTCCCCGCAGAGGACACCTTGAAAGTAGGGTCACAAAGAGGCAGGCTTCCTCTGTCTCTGCTGTGGACCCCGGAGCCTCCTGACTGACCTGGCTCCCCCTCTTCCCCAGGGGGGCTCCATTGGACTGAAGCTGAGTGTGAGGGAAATGTTTGCTGTTTGCTGCTGCTCCCTGTCGACTTTAGCCAGTAGCTCTGTTTACAAACCCAGGTTGGTTTTCCCAGCACAGTTAATTAGACCAAAGACATCTGGTGTGAGGGTTGGGGAGGGCATCTGCTCAGAGCCTTCCCCCACACCCTGCAGCCAAGGGCCAGAGCTGGGCAGAACAGCTAAACAGGACCAGACCAGGCCGGCCAATTCAGAGGGATCACGGTTTCCCATCTCAGCGAAACTAGGCTAGACCGCAACTTTCCAAACTTTAGGGAAACTGAGGAGTCAGTGCTGGAAGCCCCCACCTCGGTGGAGTTACATACTGGGGATGAAGGATTCAGCCTTCTGCTCTGCCCTTCCAGGCCCCCAAAGAACCACTGAACAGAGAGGCCGGTTCCCTCTCTCCTCCCAGACACTCTGCTCTCTGCTTGAAGGGCAGAACTCTTCAGACTTCTGGGAGGAAGATTTCCCCCCTCCCTGGGCCCTCCCCAGTCCATCTGACACCTGCAGGGAGGACAGACACTAACCAGTCCAGGCCCAGAGGGTGGCAGGAAGGTGGCCTGAAGGTGAGAGGTTCTTAGTGGACAGTTCCAGGGTGGTGGGGGAAGTGAGAGATGGGAGGAAGAGGGGAGGGGCAGAGGCTTATCTCTCCCAGGAGGGGGGAGCTCACTCCAAACAGCTAATGCACTGGCGTGTGAAAGCCCCTCAATTAGCACTAATGATGCAATCAGGG